AGTGCAGTTTTGATGGCAATGTGATTAGAAAGGCTGTGCCAGTGTAGTTGGAGGTAATAGTATAATTCCTCTTAATTTTTTCATGATTAACACATGGCAAAAGAGTTATTAATAACCATTTGATAGTGCTTTCAAAAGTTTTGTGTTAAGGTTGAAGCCTGTACTTCAGGATATTTTGTACACTTGACATGAATTAGCTGTTTCCATTTAACTGTCATTTTTTTTCTCTTTCCCATTGGCTGCCATACGGTATGCTGTGAATTATGTTATTTCTCTAGCAGAAAGTTTCCACCCAAATTGAGCATCATTTGACTTTTATGAAATTGTTAAAAATAAAAACACTTAATTATAGGACTGCAATGTAGGGTAGATTTTGACCTTTGAAGATTCAGAACACTTTACCAAATGAAAGTTTGAACCTTTGACAGTACTAATTTGCTTAATTTATTAATGATGTCTCTAGAACTGGGCAAATTCATCAATTACCCATGTGCAGCAATTACACCAATTATTATCATGTAAAGTAATCGATTAATCAAAATTACTGTTTCTGATTATTACTTTAATGATTTCATTCATCAATTAATTGAAATTCGAATTACATCAGTTGTTATTAAAATCATAAACTAATCAAAATTAATATTTCTGATTATTGATGTTTTTGATTATTCACACAACTGATTAATTGAAATTATGTTTAAACCGAGTGTCATACAAATAATCAACTAATTGAAATTAGGGTTTGCTGGTTGTTAGTATGTTTGATTATTCCAACTATCCAAGTAATAAAATTTTGCCACCAAACTTGCTTGCCCTGTCTTTGTTACGGCAAAGCTACTAAGGCTGTGTAGAAGAGCAATCATGTTTTTGTGTTTTAAATATAAAAAAAGCACTTTGTTTATGTACAAATATTTGTTGCTATGTGCAATTTTTATACAGTAAGCTCACATTGCAAAAGCATCCTGTTGAGACCAATCAAAAGAACTGTAGCTCATTTAAGCAAAACATTTAACATTCACCATTTCATACAGATTAACTTTCATAGTCTTTTCAACATAAAATTGTTGATTAATTAAACATACATACATAAACACAATGATAAATAAACTGCAAAACAGAAAAGAGTAGCAACAACAGTTTGATTAGAAAATGAATGTAGTCTTTCTGATTTTGAATATTAAGTCCTCTCACACACATATAGCTATTCTCGTTCAGTGCTGCCCTTTATGTGCAAAATCTTTTTTTTCATATGGCACAAGTACCTATGGTAAGTACCTGTTGGAAACAAAGTTTCAGTGTAGGAAAATTATAACTTCAATTATATTAAAAAAAGGTACAAGAGAGAATACTATTACCTGTCACTTTTTTGAATGACATTATATTTTTGGAAGCTGTAGATTTATCTTAATTAAAAGTTTTTAATTGTGTACCCATTCTTTTCTGTTTATCTTAATCTATACGTTGCCACAATTTGTGATTGTGGTTTTAATTCTAGTAAAAGTTATAGCTATCAGGGATATGGCTATACTAAAAGTTTATAGATGTTGTGTCCATTCCATGGACATATAAAAACTGAATGAATAAATAGGAAAAAAATATTAAAATTTTAACAGAAAGTAGGGACTGTTGCTGCAATAAAAAGTAAATAAACAAGTAGAGTGATACTTGTTGGTAGATTTTAAAATAATTTTCTATCCCTACTTTGGTTGGCAAATTTAGACTGCTTCATTTATCTATATGGATCACAAAACCAACCAAAGTAGGGATTGAAAATTGTTTTAAAATATATCTAACTAGTATCACTTCATTTGTTTGTTTACTTTTTATTGCAGCAACCATCTGTACTTTCCAGTAAAATTTTAATTATTTTATTTCTAATTTGTATACATCTTTGATGCTATGTGCAATGCTACATACAGTAAGCTTGAATTGTGAAAGCACCCTATTGAAGCCAATTAAAAGAACTGCAGCATATTTAAGCAAAGAAAATTTAATGGTCACTATTTCAACCAGGCTCACAGTCATAGTCTTTTTAACATAAAATTGTTGATTAATTAAACATATCTAATAAACATAAGGATAAATAAACAGGAAAACAGAAGAGAGTAATACTAACAAACTGTTTTATTACAAAATATATATGAAAATATTATAAGAGAGAGAGAGAGAGTATTAATACCTGTCATTTTTTTAACAATATTGTTGATTAATTTAACATAAATCTTGGATAAAGTTATAGGCCAAATGGATGAGTATTAATAATAAAAATCATTATAAATAAACAGCAAAATAACAGAGTAACAGTAAAACTTTTGTTAGAAAATAAATATAAACCATCTCATGTCTTGTACACAAGGCATCCAGTGCATTTTATTGAAGTAATGTAGTTGCTGAATATACCCCCAGAACTTCGTAATGGTCTAATTCAATGCATGAAAGGAGCTGCTGTGTATAATATTTTGGTAGTGAGTATATGCATATTTTTTGAAAGAACAATTGTGAAGTAATAAGCATTACACAAATCAAAAGGTTGAAGTTTCCATGTGATTTAATGTGTGATTATTATTCAAACATTGTCAAATGATTTTTGTCAATAAGAGAAAAAGAAACCTGACATTGCTTCAATGCTGCCTGATGAAACTTCAAATATTTAGAACTATTTTCAAATTCCTGAGTAGAGAATGAAACTTTGATCACAGCCCTAGTTACATGTAATTAAAATGAGTTTGACATTCAAAAATATTTGAAAAGAAAACATGAAATAGCCAATTTCTACACATAAATAAGATATATATATATATATATACATAATATTTATATTACTTTAAATAAAATAATGACCTGTATCTCCAGAATATATCTTTATTAGCTCAATTTCTTACTATTACAGTTTCATAAGGAACTATTTATAGTTCACTAATCCATTTGAAACTGGAGTTCAGGAGGATATATACATATTAACATTTAATACATTTGATATTTATGACACAGTTAGAGAACAGTAATGTTGTTGCCAATAGCAGACCTGAATTTGCTAATGGGGGGGGATTCACTAGAAACTGTTTGATAATACATCCAAAAGTTAAGGTGTACTTTTGTATACTCTGTATACATTGATTAGTTATGTTTAATTTTAAGTCATTCTTTTCCTTCCCATAGGCTGCCATATGGCATGCTGTGAATCATTATGCCTATAATGATGCTATTTTTCTTGCAGAAAGATTATATGCAGAAGGTAAGTGGAAAATTTGAATTTTTTGTCACTCAAGTTAAATTATTTTCTAAATATGCAGACTTCTTTGTAAGTAAGCTTTAGAAGGAGTGTAATCAAAGGATTTGAGTATACATATATTTATATACTACATGTAACAGTTTGATCATTAATATGTAACAAATTGTTGTTCCTCTGTAATATAATACGTAAAGAAACTTTTAATGATTAAGTACATTCTGCCCTTTTTTTCAGATAAAGTACAATATTGAATAAAAATAAACAGTTTAGTACAATTAAATTTGACTCCAGTTTCAACATTACATGTAAATAGAGCTAGGTAATTAGTGAAATTTGCTAATCAATAAATTGTCTGACTTATTAATCAATTACATTCAAGTAATAGGTTATTCTCATGAGATAGCTACAAACATAGATTATTCTCACCTGATTTGACTAAAAAAAACTTATCGGGTTTCAATACCCTCTTTGAGCAGACCACAGATAGCCTATTGTGTAGCTCTGTGCTTAACAGACATAACAGCAATATTTCAATTACTTGGATACTTGGAATAATCAAATGTAGTATTAATTTCAAATTCCTGAGTAGAGAATGAAACTTTGATCACAGCCCTACATAATCACCTTCATTCAGTAGAGAGTAGGGAGGTGGTATTCTGCCGGTGTAGATGGTGTTGAACCTCCAATCATGTGGTCCATCTTCATGCCGTGGGTCCCAGACGGTTCCTGGATGACTGGTTGTGATTGTGAATTTGCACACGTACCCTATTTTGTAGATCATTACAGAAATTGTCTCCTTCCTTTTTTCTCAACTTGAGGTGAAGATGGCATGGACCTTCCTCCTACCATGGGACGGATGATGTATGTCTTATGCCATGTGATTTTGGACTGGAGTTGACTTGCTGTGTACGATCTGCTGTGTTCTAGCCACTCTACACCATGAGGCACATCCATTTTATCCTTCTCCACCTTCTTGTTTGTGGATGGAGATCCTACATTCATTTGTGAGATTGGGATTTTTACCCACCCAGTTTTATCTCCTCCTATTTTCTGCTTGTGTATGTGACACCTATTACCACACAGGAAGAAGAGTATACCTGGTACAGAAGTGGTGTGGTCTCACATGTGTTCCTCTCTATGCTTTATGGGTGTTCTTTAAATGCTTTCAAAGAATACTTATCTATATCTCTGGCTTAACAGACATAACAGCAGTATTTCAGTTATTTGGATATTTGGAATAATCAAATGTAGAATTAATTTCAAATGTATGTGGTATCTCATGGACTAACAGCAGAGTAAAGAGTTAGGCCCTCTAATAACTGAAGGTTCTCAGGTTTCAGTCTATGATGTGTATTTTATTTCCTGTTTTGATTGATTATGAGAAAAAGAGACAAGAATCAGAAAAAAAATTTAGTAACACAGTTCACCTTTTAGGTAAAAAAAGAAGAAAAACTAAAAATACCCCCCCCCCCATACAAGTTACAAGAAATCACTGTAAAAGCAAGCACAAATAGCTACTAACATTATTCCACAGTTTGCTCTCCCTCCCAAAAGTGAGAGCCAGTTGATTTTGCAACAACACAGTCAAACCTTCTATTCACTTACTGTGGACATAAATAAAATGAAAGCAAGAGCTTCACTATCTCAGGAACTGAAACTTAAAAGCAAAAGTACTGTTCGAGTTCCCTTAAGGTGAAATTCCTAATATTTCATAAGAGCTCTAGTGCTCTTGTTAAAAGTGAAAGTTATACAAAGCAAATGCAGCAGAAATCTACTTGGCTTCTGCTAAATATATTACAAGAAATCTAAGAATACACACAATTCTGAGTTACACAGAACCTGGGCTCTCCAGCCCAAATACAACCTTAAATATGCCAATAAACTTCAGTTTTTTAGCACACAAAAAAATCATGATTTGCACTGGTTACCTCACTTTGCTAGTAGACTAAGGATGTAACAATGTGCAACCTTTGTCTGATTCACGACAAAAATGGTTCAGCACATTAATTAAATGCTTTGATATTCCTATAGAAAAAAAACAGACAACTTGCATTAGTGTGCTAACTCTCCTTGCTCAAGAAAAAGCAAAAGTTAGTAACTTGCTTGGCCATCTCATTGCATCCAAAAGGAAATTATGAAAAACAGCATAATTTTAAAAATCTTACACTTCAACTAAAGGGTTAGAAAACATATAGTACATATCTGTACTATAATAACTATGGTATTTAGTTTGTAGGTAAATTGTATGCACAGAGACACTTACACATATAGATTTTAATCGTGTATTGCATACAACTTTGGAATTATGCAACATAAAAAATAAGTTTAGCTAATTTTATCTCATTACTACCTATAAGCTAAGAAAAAATAATATGCTAACTTACGTAGTATACATACTAATAGGCTACTATAAAGTCCTAATTTTAAACCTAAGCCAAACATCCTTAAACAATGAGCTAATTATCTGCTAGTATACAGTACGGTACTAACAGAGAGCCTCATGGTAAATCATCATGAGAACTTTGCAGGAAAAGTGCATAGATATCCAGGAAGCATACAGTGTGTATTAGATCTGTGCATAGGGTGCTATTATCAACTGCTTGCTAATGTATGATCCATAAAGAAATGGGTGTGCTTCGTGATGTGTGGAGCATTGTTTTTTTTTTTACCTTTCTTTCATTCAGTGTATCAACTTATGTAAATAGATGAGAAACAGACAGAGATTATTTTAACTGATGATATTTTATTCTATGGTGAATAATATTTCATGCTTTGTGCCAAAGGAAAAAGTACAGTATACGTACAAATCAGAAGATTGTTGTTATGAACAAAGTGGGCTGGGTGGTGGTGTTTTTAATTTCTCGGCAATTGATTTTCTGTGACCAGAAAATTTGGCAAATTCTATCTATTCTGATTGTTGACCAATTCTGATTATCAGTAAAACTCTGCATAATATAAGATAATAACTTAAATAAACACAAAATAATGATTTAAAAACAGGAATATTAATATATATATTAATACTTAATTTCACCAGGCATAGCAAAAAAGCCTAGCCTTGGACTGCTATCATCCCTTTAGTTAAGGATAAGCTACCTAACACTTATGGCCTCTTTGACCTACTGCTGTCTGTACCAGCTAGTTCTGCTGAGGCAGAGAGAGGATTCAGCAAGATGAAGATTAAACGAGACCAATTTGAGATCTTGTCTGTGAGCTGACAGGATCACTGATCAACTTTTGGTCTTACTCCACTCACCTTTAATAAGTGAGTTTGATCCCATAACAGCTATCCATCTTTGGAACTCAGGATAACTTCACTTAAGGAGACCAAATGCTAGTAGGGTCCAGATTGAGAAGCAGGTGCAGGAGATTGATTAAGAAAGAATTCAAGAAATGGATGTTGGGACACCATCAGACACTGACACACTAGATTTCCTTTCATTATTTATTTTGATTAGGAAAGGATACTAATTTGAGTTTAACTCTTCACCACCTTAATCACATTAAAACTATTTGCATATTTTCCATACATTGCTAATTTAAATTTTGCTTATTACAAATTCATGAACGACTAATTAACAGCTGTTTCAGAATATGAATGAACTGATTGCTATAAAGTTAGTGGTAATGTAAATTGTATGATTTTTTTCCATCAAAAGTGTTTGACATTTTATTGACAAATATGTGTCAGGTAATTGATAGTGGGTTATTTGGGAACAAGAATAGATTACACTGACAGTGATGCAAAGATTTTCTTTCATTATTTATTTCAGTTAGGAAAGGAGGGGAACAAAAGAATAGATTACACTGGCGGTGATGCATAGATTTTCTTTCATTATTTATTTTAATTAGGAAAGGAGGGGAACAAAAGAATAGATTACATTGGCGGTGATCAGTAGCGTGCAGAGGGGGGGCGAAAGGTGCCTGGGGCCCCGGGCATCCATATCGGAAGGGCAAAGAGTCAAATCAAATAGTAGAACCCTTTCCGCCCTTCCACAAAGTCTTAGGTACAAGGCCCCGGGCATCATAGAACCTCTGCACGCCACTGGCGATGATGCATAGATTTTCTTTCATTGTTTATTTTGATTATTAAAGGACAATACTTTAAAGGGGAACAAAAAGCTACTGTTATACCATGCTTTAGAGAGAAATTAAAGGTCATATATGAAATAAAAACCATTTAAGTGGTCTTAAAAAATAAAATGGTTTGACTTGTGGTTTTTTTTCATGAAATATGATTTCACAACAAAATAAATTGAGATATGTTGATATTTTCCATTTCCTTTCAGTTCACATAACATTTGCTAGTTAATTCCGTGATTTTTCTGATAACTTCCACTGTAGGCCACATTTTACAATGAACTGTTGGATTGGGTCCTAAAACTGGTTGCAGGCCCCTAAAAATATATGTTTTGGGGGCCCGGCTGGCTCCCTAAAAAAGTTAAGCATTAGCCCTGGGAGATATGCCCATTCCTGCTGACCCTTTGATTGAATAAATCAGGTTGGTATACTTTTCAAAATAGGGAATTGCAGACACCCATTGCACTTCATCTGGTGTGACATTCATTTGGACTCCTTGATGCATTTACTCCCCCCCTTTCCAGTGGAGCAAGGGAGTCCTTTCCAGTTCACAGTCACTGAGGTGATGGACCCTAAAGTCTTCCTCGTGAGTGAGTTTAGATATTTTACAATGCATACTTCTGATTATCCACTCAGTGAGAAGAGAGCAAAGCTGGTTTCCCTCTTTCCATTTCCCCTGGATGCTTTTTCTCAGGTGGACAACAATAGACAAAATATAAAAGTGGGTTGAAGCAGTTCCAGCCTACTCTGGATCCTTCTCATACTGCTGGGTTCAGGATGACAATATCCTGTTCCTACAGTGGAGTACAGTAGTCACCTCTCTTGTTAATTCCAGCTACAGAAGTTTTCCCTGATTCTATGGCTGAGTCTGAAAGAACTTCATCTACCTCGTAATACTGGCAACAGGATGTCTGTGCTCTATT